TTTTGAACTTGTAGTAAAACATTATTTTATGTAGAACTACTATTTAGCCCAAAGCCTTAGTAAATTCAGAGGCATCTTGGTATGGTTTGGCTCAAATTCAGAATGATAAAAATGTGTGGGTGTGTCAGGTTCTCAGGCTGCCAAAAACAGGGGGTTGATTTATAACTTGGCTATTTTGAGTACGGCTTAGTGTCAAGATGGTAGTAGTGAGGGTATGAATGACCGGTCTATCCCTTATTTGGTTCCATGTAATTTTAACACTTTGCGTTACACTACTTAACCATGTGGTGTTTTAGTGAAGAAAAGACTCACAGGGCTTTGTGGTGTTCTTCAGCGAGGATCTGGTCATTAAGCTTCAGTCCAAACCTTTATTCGAGAACAGGGAAAATATGTCAGTGCATTTTGGTCAGATACAACAGAAATGAAAAAAAAAAAAACTGTGAATAAAATCTGTTGTTTAAGCTCACTTGTCAAGGAAATCTTTGTCCACAACAGCTGAAATGTCCAGCAGGGGATTTCCCATCCCAAAGAGTGTGTTTTCACTGTTGGGGGACAAACATGTATTGTATTATGTACACTCCTACTCGCAAGCTGAGGACAAAAACACTCGTTGTGAATCAAAAAATCTGTTTCCGATTTCTTGAATTGAGTCACTGAAACTTTGATGAGGGAAGAACCTAGGTTTCGGCTCTTTTACCTGACTGTCTCTCTACAGTAAACATGAGGACTAAATAAATATACAGAAGCATGTTCAATTGCAAACTAATGACCTCATTGCAGACAAATAAGTGATTTTTTTTTTATTGAGTTTGGGAGATATCACTACTCAGCTTACAAGGAGAAATGTAAAGGTGACAATTGTTGCTTATTTTAACCCCATTTAGATAGAGATTAGTCAAATGAAAAGCAGGAAGTCATGAACGTTGAAAAGATCAAAATAAAGGATTATCATTCTCTGAGCAACAGATGTGTCAAGTGCAGACATGTGCAGCTCATGTGCTGTTCATACATGCAGCATGCTTTCACTAGACTGGTGTGTAAAAGCAGGAAAAACAGTATTCAGTTTGAGTTGTTTCGATAGCATTTACCCATGTGACCCTTTCATTAAATACTTCTCAGCTACAATATATCATAGAAGTCAAATGTTTCCCACTCTTCAAAACAGTTCACCTAGCTTTCATAAAACACAAGACACAACAAATATGATCTCTGGTTTACACAGATAATTTTGCAGCAGTTTGGATTTTATGTAATTCACTCTGATTGTAATACTTAGGTATGTGTCCACAACTCTGAAATGTGTTACGCTTTGTTGCTGGGTTTTTAATCAAACTATTGAAAGACTGGCAGTGCTGTGAGTACATTTCAGAAAAGACAATCATCAATGCAAACTTGTAACCTGTGGAAAGTCTGGAGGATTTTGTCATTTGGATCTTACCTTGGAGTTGGCATGATGTCAGATAACTCAGCGCCTTATCTGATGAATAAAAGCTGAAACGCTTTCTTCACTCTGTCAAAGCTATGTGCTTTTTGAGTACAGGAACTGCAGCTGCACTTTTGTCAACTCTCACTGGTTGGTAGAGGATAAGGGCGGGCTTTAGTATCATCGAGCCATATGATTGGCTACACATTGTTCCAATGATAGAAAGGTTTCTGTGTTGTGTTTGAGTCCAATGGGAAAGGAAATGGACCCTATGGTAACACTAATACAAGTGATGAAGTAACTAATGAAATATATTGATTTAAAAATATATATTCTGCTTGTGTATAACCATTCACATGACATGTTATTTTGTATTGATTAAAAAAACAGTGTACGTTTTGTAGCTGTATACAAACTACTGTAAACATGTATTTTGTTGCTCTTCTATATTTAAAATGTTGTTGAATTCCATCTAAATGGGAGTAATAACCAGTTCTAAACCCAAATGTGTTTTTGTATACAAAATAATACATACGATCTAATTGGCTCTATTGTAAACTTGGCAGCACAAGTTAATTCTAGTTTTCTTATATAAAAAGGAATACATTTGTTGTACAATTTGAGTTTGACAGCCATGAGTTTGAGTTATTTTATTGTGGAATATTTAAATATTTGGAAACGGTGTGTTGTTAGTAGTATATTATCACTTGGTGAGCAACTGACCTCCTTTTTATGTCAACTTAACTAAAGCAAAAATATGCAGTGAGTAATGGCATTGGGATGTTAGCCTACAATAACAATTTAAAGTGGAAATAAAGGTTACAAGACTAAACCAGACGGATCATATTACACCCATTCCAGCCTCAAACTGCTTGCCTAAGTTGAAATTCTTGTTTTTTGTTGAACTATGGCCTTTAACCTGCTGACGTTATAGAACGAAATGTTGCTATACCAGTTTGTGCAAGACATGAAACGCAAACCCACAAAACTATGCCAAACAGAGAGTGTTCCCAACAATTTAACTGTAGCTCAGGCTATGTCCTATTAAAGCAATTCAGTAAGAGGTAACAGGGCAACATTGCATTGATTGTGCACCCAGCATAAATAATATTAGGATCTGGAAACTGAAGGAGAAACATGATATTCAGCCAGCCACAATTTTAGGATTTAGGCATGTATATATAAACATACAATTGAGATGAATGCATTACCTTTGCCATGGGCCATTTAAGTATGTAAATAATTGATTATTATTGTCTTGAAATATTTACTTGCAATTGTAACTGTGTTGTTCTTGTAGTGTATGATCTACATATTTTTGTCAGAATATTACAGAAACTGCAGACTATTACATTTAAAAACAGAGTTTCCTTAAGTCACGTGAACGCCGCACCATTAACTTCACATTATGCAAAATGTCAACAAGACACTAGCTGCATGCCAGCACTGTAATGGTATGCTAATGTGCTTCATTACGGACGAGGAGACACACGTAATTGACAAAATACTGAAGCGGTGGACTAATGGTGTAATTTAAAGTATAAAGATTCACTTTAAATGGCTATTCTTTATACTTCATATTTGGCTACATTATTATTTTTTAGACCGAACGGTTGTATTGTCTTCGTTTTTTCACAGTTTGCAGTTCCTGCTGTGCGTGTTTTGAAATTTAAGTAGCTTAATAAAACTTTCATGTTTAATGTAAATTGAAATTGAAATGCCATTCCCTTCACTGACAGCATTAACTTTGACTCACGCCTTTTACAACAAAACCAATGTTTTCACACCAATATGTCGATTTTCCATATAACCGTAACATTTGTTCCTCTTTTTTTGTATGTTGGATAAGGCTACATTATTGTCTCTGGATCATGTGATGAACCCAGCCTCTCCTGCTAGCTTCGGTTAGCATCGTTATGACTGAACAATATTATGTTAAATGCTAACACCGGTGTCGCCTTAATACTTGATGTAACGTTCAAATGTTCAGACTGCTTAGCCCCTCATCACCCTGCACCTCCTTCTGACATTTAACACAACACCGGAGACGTTAGCATGAATTAAGAGCTAGCAACAGCAGCTAACTATGCAGAGGACCATCCGTCAAACAGCCCAATACTGTCGTGTTATTACCTTAACGCTGTTGTCATCCCTGTCGACATGTTTGGTTCTTCGTATGACATCTTTGTTAAATCAATGACGGCTGTGTTGACGCTGCAGAGCCCGGGAAGCCGGTGCTGTATGTGGGGTTAGAGGAGCGAGAGGCTGCAGCTTCCTCCTTCTCCTCGGATGATAATGAGTAAATTGGCAAACAGCCTGCAACCCAGGGAGAAAATTAATTGTAATTTTAAGGAAAGGGTCAGTTTTAGCTCGCCACTTTCTCCTAGCCAAGCCAATTCGACTCGCATAAAGAGGAGGAAACGACATAGTTATTTCGCGTTATCGCAGTGATTACTCTTATCACCTGTTTTACCTGGATGAAGTTCAATGTGCACATATGTCACAGGAGACAAATCATGGAAGGATGGATGGAAGGAAGAGGAGTGGAAGATACAGTATATTAACATAGTACTGTACATTATTTAACACAGTGTAGCCAAGCTGTAGCCTAGTTAATCAAGAGATGTATATCTTAAAATGTCTTAGTTGAGTTTTGAAAAACACAGTAGCCTACAGCTACCGTGTTAAAGTTAGTTTTCTGTTGAATATTCGACGGACAATTATGTACAGTACTCCATATTATAAATTACTATACTAAGACAAATGGGACACACCTCTTTATTGGATTGTGTTGAAGTTCTACTGTCAAAGCTTCCATGTCATATGAACGTAAGACTCCAAATCAATGCAGTATTGTTTGAGTACAGTGGTTTTAGTAGGATACTATATTTTATTGGAGTTTAGGTTATATTTGATATGAAAATGTTTAGAAAATTCTGCAATCTAATACTTCTGAATTTGCATACCACCATTTGTTTTAGTTTATTGACATTAGGGGCATGCAAAAGACACACCTAGGGGCATGCAACATTAACGTATTGGACAATAAGTTGGTTTCTGGTGTTCCAGGCAAAATATAATTCTGCTGCCATGTGTAGTCGGCTGTGTAAACTGTACATTATGAGCAGGCCTTTTGGACAGTGACAGGATTTAATGAAAAGAACAAAGGGTCAGTAGAGACCACAGCAACTTCTTCATGTCACAGGGTCCCTTAGTGGGACAATTAAGCCATTGGTAACGCAAACACAGGAACATTTAAGTTTATTTCACTGTGGAATTAGAGATAATTTGTTGATAAAGTACCTGAGTAAAGTTCAGAACAAGCTGAGCCTTCACATAATGCAGACAGCTCACTGAAACATGTGCATAATACCTGCAGGCTGATCCATGTGTTAAAACAGTGACATAATAATATATATACACTGTATAATATATGACTGCTTTTTATAACACAAACTTAACACATTTAGAAGCAGTATTTAGTACATCTCTTAGCAGATTTCTGCATGTAGATTTTTTCAATCCTGAAAAGCTCACTTTGACATTCACACTGTAAAGCATAAAGGAAGACAAGAAATTATAGAGCAAACACACCTCAAAGTGCTATAAAATGCTTTATTACAAAATAGTGAACATTGCCTCAGCAAAATGTTGTTCAGGCCCATTTAAACCCCAACCAAGTGACATCATTTTGAACAAACATTCTCTGGGTTTGCATAGAGCATCATTTGACATGAAGTAAAAGTCATGAAGCGGGGTTACCTTATAGAAGAATCATGTACAACAAGTGTTTTTGAATAAATCAACACTATCATACCTCATACAAAACATCTGTAAATCAAAACTGTACCCGTTGCAGATAAAGTTTATTATCCAAGGCACATCAGTTTGTAGTAGATACTTAAAAAGACACATTCACTCTAACAGTCTTCAGATATTTCAAAATATCAACTACGGTCGCCAGAAATAGTGGCCAGTTATGTTTAGTGTGTTCAGACAAATGTGATAGCATAACATTGCATCAGCTGCAGATGACACAGTGCTCCTTATCTAACCTCTGGTCATGTACTACCTAGGAGAAGTGTGCAATTCATATATCACAACAAAATGTTTTATTGTGCACATGAGACAAGCTGTGTGCCGTGTTAAGAAAAGGAAGCTTTGTTAGCTTGCTGTGTAAATCAGAGTAATATTTGTTTGGCTATGAGGCCTCATACTGTAGCACAAGCCTGTTTCTTACATGAAGTCTCATTGCAACATGTGAAACATTACACATATCTAGAATTAGTTGTTTAAGTATCTTTACTTGCTGTTGGCAGACTTTTAAGTTACTTTTTTAAGTAACTAAATATGTATTTCTGACCAAAAAAAGGCAACTTTACTTTCAAAGATCATGGCAGAAAGTCTTTGGCAGAACTCTTAAGAAAATAAAGAATGCTACAATTGCATTACAATATGTAAAACAATGAACAGTGTTCACTTTCACTTGTGAGCATATAGAATAGTGTAAACAGGCATAACCCTACATTTTGCGTGAGCTGAGCATCTGTACTGTACTTGTAAAACTCCTAAAGTTCATGTGCTTATAAAGATGAATACATGATAGTAAAGGTTAAAGTATCAGTACAAAGATATAAAAATGTCTCTTGAGAACATTTCGTTTTTTTTTTAATTTAACTTAAGGTTTGTGTTTAGAAGAGGCCAAAAACAATCCTTGCATTATATGTAATCAGACCTCTAATCAAAAATACAGTATATATTCCTGGGATTTGTCAAAATAAGCTTAAAAACACATTTTTTACACACTTTTAGAAAAAAAGACATCCCCAGTAAGAATCTAACCCATAACTCGCCCTGATAGTCCCATTGTCTACTTTCTACCAGAACAGCAACTGTTACAGACAGGACAAGGGACTAGCAGAGAAGGATCACCCTCCTTAGAGTGACGGGCACCGATATCATAGCTCTGATAAAGAATATATCTGTACATTCAATGTCCTCCTGGATCGCTAGATAGAACCAACAATAACCGGAGGAACAGGGGCCCTTCTCTTACTGGTACCAGGGGGTCTTTCTGATCCAGTGAAGGGCAAAACCTGCGTCCGTCCGGATCTTAATGGAAGCTGCCTCGGCCTCTCTGACCGTCTCCTTCACGGACTGCATCAGGTTCTGAGCATTGTGGACCAACATCTCAGTAGCCTGGGGAAGAAGGAATTAAAGAGCTTCAGTGATGAGGGGGACTCAAATTATACTAATATAAAAACAATGAGTCTTGTGATTTGACCCATTCATTCAAAAATAATCTGCTCACCTGCTCTGACTCCTCTTCACTGATGTTGGTACGACCCAACATGGTGGCCTTGACTGTGGAGAGGATTTTGAGCTGAGTGCTGATGGTGGGAATGCGCTCACACACCTGAAAAGAGGTCAGAAAGTCAGACAAGGTATACAAAAAAAAAAGAAAAAAGCCTAGCCATTCCACAGTTGCAATCCACTGCAAACTACTCCGATAAGCCCCACCAGCCCTCTAAAGCCGACTGAACTGACCTGGAGCAGGTTGGTCCGGATACGCTTGTCAGTACACTGCTTGGCCACCTCCTTGGCCAGCCGTGTGACTTCATCAGAAGCCTTAGCGATGTCCTTGGCGCACTGGATGAGGGCGCGCTTGTTTCCGCCGCCTCCACGCACCAGACGAGACATTTCAGCCATGAGCAAGGCCATTCGTTTTGCAGCACCAATGATGTCGTTTCCCTATGGAGGTACGATAGGAGCATGATCAATCTGAAGGTGGAGGATTCCAACGTGAAAGCCCCTTACTGTGTTTACGTTACTGTCACTTACTTTGCTGGACCATTTGCGAGCTTCCTCGTGGAGCTGCCTGGCAGCCACCATCATGGGCTCGTTCACCATATCACCAGTCTGCTCGGGGAACTCCTCATCTTTCTCCTCTGGGGGAGGAGGCCTGGGGGGAGGAACCTCACCCTCGGGAAGAGGAGGTTTGGGTGGTGCTGCCTCATCGTTAAGCTACAAGGCAAGTTAAAGTAATTATGGTTCAGCGGTTTGAATACACATGTGGTTTTGGACACAAACACCGAAGCAGCTTTAGATGTTTTTCCAAATGAATAGTGTAGTTGATCTGAGGATTTACATTAAGCTGATCCAGTTCAGGAGGAGGTGGTGGGAAGTCTGGCTCTTGGGGCTGGAAGGCCTCTCTGACCTTTGCCACGGCACCAAGAATATTATAACCTGAGTCCAGAAAGCCTTTCTGAAGACCTGGTAATCAAAAGAAAACACACTCATCAATAATCAGAAGGTTCTGCAGAACATAATCCTAAAACATGTTAGCACAACCACTTACTTGGATCCTTGATATTTCCAGCTACTGCTTTAGCATTCATCACCATAGGAGAAATGGTCTGGCTCAGTTCGTCAGACGCAGCCTTCACCATCTCCCTGAATTTAGGATCCTCAGAGTTCTCCACCTCTCGCTTCGCCACCAGGAGGATACGGTTGGCTCTGCGGGCGATGCTGGTGGCGCCGGCGACCAGCATCTGAGGCTGGTGGTTGGCCATGGCCAAACGGCACTTCTCCAGGTCCTTCTTGATGGCGTCCTCTGAGGCATCCAGCAAGGATTTGGTATCGATGGCCTCGTCCACCAGACCTAAACATTGATAACGTGTTAATATAGGGAATAACAATGGCGTAAAAGGAATCATCTATTATCAGGGAATTCACAGCGTCTTGATGGCCCATCACCTGTCATTTTCTCCACGTTGTCGATCCACTGATTCTTCATGGTTTCAAAATGTTCGTATGCCGCTTGGTTGCCAGGGTTTCTCAGCAGAATACGAGCCGCAGATACCACCTTAAAAAAACAATCCGAGCCATTAATTGTCAGTCCAATGACAACTGCTACAGACTTGGCTCAGGAAGCTAGAAACACTTAAGCTCTGCGGCTGGTGAAGCAGAGTGGAGGGCGGAGAGGAGTGGACTGAAAACATAAACAGATATAAACACTAAACCATCACATACTTGTGGTGTTAAGTCTCTTGTTGACTTGACAGCAGCCTGGATTCCCTCCACTGTGCTTTTGTTGGCAGTGCCGACAGCAGCAGCTTTCTCTGCTGTGGTGCCAAGCTTATTGGCGTGGTTCTGGAAGTTGGCAGCCCTTTCGTCAAATACCTAAAACATGATTAATAAAACAATTACACAAAAGAACAGTTGGGAATAATAGTACACCCTGCAGATAAATGTAACACCACTAAAGTGAGATCGCAGCGTGACTGACCTCATCTCTGTTAGGGGCGTCCAGGGGGGCGGTGGCAGCCACTGCCAGCAGCTTGATGGGGGTGGTGGTGTCACTGAAGATGTCAGACACCTCCTGAGTCATCGCCTCCTGCATCTTCCCTTTCAGGTCCTGGGTGGAGGACAAACAAATGTTACAAACGCACTTACAGTCAGATCAGGAGTACTTCATCAACCGCTGATCTTTAAGATACACAAATTATTATAGAGCTTCAATGTCCTCTTAAAATAGTAAGTCCTGAATAAAAGCAGATTTTGAGGTTTTATTCATTTGACAGTTTTGGAGAATTGATTTATAATATTATAGATTACATTTATTAAGGCAGATTTAAAGCCTACATTCAGGTGTGTACAACAACAACTTAAAACATGCTTTCTGTAAATTGCAGACTTTTAGGAACCTATACAAATCTTTATTCAGAATAAATAATTTTTTAGGTTTTTAGAGAGACCTATAACATGTCAGCTTTTAACTAATCCGAAAGAATGGAGAAAAAGACACATTTGTAGATCTGTGCTTTTCTCAGATTTTTACTATTACAACAATTTACCTTTGAAAGTTTGAGCAGGACTTTTAGTGAGTATTTTCCCATTGTGGTCGTACTACTTTTAATTATTGTAACATAATGCAACTTTTTGAATTTCTTCCACCACTGGTAACCAGCAGAGGGGGTTGTCTCTCTGTGTCTGTGTATCATGATCTATCACAGTGAGGCTACAGGTCAGAATGAGAATAACTGTGAGTAATAGCCATCTTACTTTCAGAGCCTCCTGGAGCTGCTGAGCAACAGCCCGTGCCTGGGGAGAGTCCCCTTCCCCGCGGGCAGCCAGGTCGGCCAGCTGGGCCATGAGCTGCTCCACCAGCTCACATTTACCCAGCAGCTCCTGCCTGTAGGGGCCCTGCAGAGCGTTGGCCAGCCTGCGGCCCTCTGCCACCAGCCCGCGGATGGCTGCCTGACCTAAAACACACACACAACAAAATGTAAAGACATTAAGATTTACAAAAAAAAAAGATTCTGATGGTTAACTGCTAATGAACATACTGTTATAAAGTGAAATAAGAAAATAGGTATATCTTTTTTATAATTTCTTATCTTGCCATCACAGATATGTTGTATTAATTGACAAATGGTCTACCAAATATGAATGCCTAAATCCCTCAAAGACATTACATTTGTTATGATGACATACGTTTACATTGATGAATCTAGAACCAGAGTGTTTGCAATGTTTGCTGAATAAATATTATTTAATTTAAGGCAACTGTAAAGGTTGCTTTTCAAAGCCAGCGATAAGTTTGGCCAACTCCTGCAAATAGCTGCCAATTGAATACTGGGTAGTTTCTGTCATGACTGTTTTAATCAACACTAGGGGGAATGAGAGCCATGGCTTCTTCTGTATCATTTCATGTTGTTCCTTTGAGGTGAGGTTATATTGTGTGAAACAATCAATCTTAGAGAGGCCACAGCTCCATTGTAAACAAACACAACGCTGTTCAGGCTTGAGAGGAGACGAGCCAAAACCAAAGAACGACATAACAGTGTTAGGAGAGCGTTGTGGAATGTTGAGGACAGTAGAAAGGGACATGTACACTAAGTGTCTGGTCTGCTTTTGAACCACAGGAACAGTGGAAGGAATGTGAAGGAGAAAGATGGAGAGATGAGGAAGTTGGGAAGGATGGGAGCCAGACTCACCCACACCGCTGTCATCTATGGTGGGATTTTCAATCCAGCGCTGCGCCTGCTCGATTTTTCCTTCCAAGTGAACAGCTGCCTTTGCAGGCCTGCTGTTGGCCACAGCTTTGTTGGTCTTGGACTGCAGGTTCTGCAGAGCTGTTGCGATCTGTTTAGACAAAGCTCTGGCCTCAGGAGTGTCACCTTTACCCCTATAAGGAATAAAACAGACGTGAGGTGGTGTTTTTCCTTATAAAGATATGGCTTGAATTAGGTTGGTTAATAGCTATCTTTAGTTAGAGCGCAAGTAGCTAGTGTTTTGATACGGCAGCTTTAGTCGAAATACAAATTACTCCACTTGAAAAAGTAGTACATTGAGCTTTTTACAATTCCCTGGGATGAACCAAAAAACATACTCTAGACCAGTTGTACAAGATGGAATAATAATGGTTCCTGTAAAACAGTTTTATGGAATTTGTAGTCCCACAGAAAGAATAAGGAACTATTACAAGGAAAACATTCTGTCAGAGATCTACAGGTATATATGACTTCCAATCCTAGGTATAATTACTTAAACAACTGTAATGAAATGTAAAAGCAGACCCGTGGGGTTTGGATAAAGAGGCTGTCAAATTCAGACTCAAAGAAAATACAAATGCAGCATAAAATGATTCAATATCACCCTCAGTCAGGAACTTACTGTCTCCTGAGATCAGACAACTTGGCAGTCATGGCAGCGATATCTCCAATCGAGCGCAAGATGTCCTCTCTTTCTTTGGGATCCTCACACATGTCTGCAATCCTTTTGGCCTCGGTGAGCAGGGCCCTGATGTTCTCTTCTCCCTCTGGGCCGCCGTTAGGGTCTGCCAGCCAGCTCTGCAGGGGCAAACGCAAAGAAAATACAATCAAATACTTCCATCTCAAGGTTTAAATCGTTGTTTAGGAAGCCAAGTGGAGTTAATGGATCACCTGGGCAGCATCAATCCTTTTGGCGATGGCCTGCTTGGAGTTAGTCATGGCCTCCAGCTTGCGAGCAGCATTTTCCACCTTGCCAGTTAGCACGTCGAGCCCCTGGGAAACCTGCTGTGCCTTCTGCATGGCGGCCGGGGATGCCCCCTGACCTCTGGGGTGGACAAAGAAAACACACAGATCCATAAACTGGGGCACCTGAGACCACACATGCAGACTTATTAGTTGACTTACTAAAAAGCTTTATGTCTCCGTGTTGAAGAATTAGATTTCCTAACTTAATGCCTGTATTAGCAGCCGAGGCTCAAAGGCATCGCTTAGTCTTCAGAGGAGTTACTCAACCGGGGGCTTTTGTAGATTATAGATTAATACCAGGCAGCTGCTTTTTATCGAGTGTGGCTCAGGGTCCCTGGTGACAATCGGATTTCATATCATAGGGATATCACTTCCATTATTACACACTATAATCCTCTCTATTATGCTTACTGCCTCCCTTTAAGGATGTTAAAGGAAACTACTGTGCAAAAGTGTCACACACACACACACACACACACACACACACACACACACACACACACACACACACACACACGTTTTAGGATGTATAGTGTACCTGGCCCTGATATCAGACACCTGGTCAGTCATCTGGCCCAGAGTCTTGGCAGTGCCCAGGATATCTCTGCGTTCCTTCCCAGCACACAGTTCACCAACTTTCCCGGCTTCATCAAGGATCTGGCGGATGGCCTGCTCACCTGCGTCCCCTAGAAGCACCAAACAAAGCCACCCATCAGTACTTTATCTAGATATAACCAGATAATCACTCTGAGGACATGATTAGTGGTAGAATAGATAGTTACGATTGGTAAAATAGGAGGTTTATTACCTGGTTGAGCGTTTGGATCTCTCAGCCAGTTCTTAGCTTGAGCTATCTTTGAGTCGATAAGCCCCAGAGCCCTCTTCATGGCCTCTGTGTCCTTTGGGTTAAAATGGCAAAATAAGTGAATAACTTAAAAAGGGAATCAATGCAACTAGAGAAAACAAAAAAGTTGGATCAATACCCTAAGTCATACATGTATATATATTCTTTCTATAAATGATGACATGAATATTAGGGACACTGGAATGTTGTGTTCATTTCAAGTCAAATTTCCTGTTAACAGTGTCTTCTGTGTGAATGAGGCTAACATACTGTATGATGTCATATCATTATATTCCTTTTTTAAGAATAAGTTCATGACTCATTGAAACTGAGCTTGGGGTGTATTTTCATTCAATTATTTCCACAGTGGTGTAGAAAAGCTCCAGGCTCTTGTCATGGTTCTGATCAAACCCAACTGTTGAATTATTCCACTTAAAGAGCACCACACAGCAACGTCTATGTGCAGCACCGCTCACATCTGTCAGGCACACCCACGGAGCGCATGCCGTATCCGTCATTCTTTCACATCATCAAAAAGGGAGCGTGTATTGTTATGAAAGCCAAACGACTCTCCATTGTATCTCAATCAGAGTGGATGGAAATACAACAATCTGTCCAACAGAGGCTGACTCGACAATGAGTCCACTCATTGTCGAGTCCGCAGAACAAAGCGGAGTCCTGTTGGACACGGAGCAAAGCAGGAGACCAGAGCGGATGAATGAGTGAGCTTTTTTTTTCCATGGTAGAATAATAGGAATTCAGAAAACACTATCCTTCATTTTAAATCATGTATCTTCATCTCAGCAAAAATGTCATAGCAATTGAAGACTAAGAACACACCTCCAGTGTTTGTTTTAAGAATATCTGTTTCCAAATGTGTCTGAGCCCTGACGATAATCACTTTGTTAAAATAAAAGAGGGCAACACACAGGTTTATTTGAATAACTGGGAGTGTTGAATAACATAGCAGAACAAGGGAGGAAACAGGAAGTACAAAGGCTTGAAGTGATGTCACCAGAGCTGCGGGGTTGTATTAGTTTACTGTTCAAACTTGCACAGCTACTGTTCTGCATGTAATGACTTGTTTATGTGAGTTGAAAAGCTGTGAAGTAATGTGAAAGATAGCATTGATATAGGATCATTGCCTTGAAATGCAAACACACGTCCATTACAGTTTATAATCTAACTATGAATCAATTATAGAGATGATGTGAGGTTAGATGGTGATCATGGAAATAGGATTGTGAGCAAACAAGGGCCTATCTATTGGATAAAAACTTAAATGGGCCGTTCACAGAACAAAATGTGTTTCTATGTGATCTCCTCCTAATGCTGTATGTACGTACGGTAAGGTAAATGCTGACAATTCAAATGAATGACACCCAAATCAATACTGCACAGTTCAGGTCAATCAATAATCAGACAGGTTGAGGACATGCATAGTGCGGTGTAAAAGACATAGGAGGAGCACACACAGATGTTGATACAATGTCATGTTATGAAGCAAAACAGAAGATTCCACATACAGTAGATGGACTTTCAGCTTCCAACCTGCTTAGGACTTCTTCAATACACACTGTTTCATTAGCAGTCCAACAAATTCAAAGTGCTAATTAACTCTTACTTACGGTATGTATATATATAGTCAACAGTTTACCTATCCTGCCTACTGATAAGCACACAATGGCACCACAAAGCACAAGACAGCACACACATCTGTCAGACATGCTGCTGCACAACCAATCTGCGAGAGAGGTAAAGCTTACCTTCTACAGGGGGTGAAGGGAGAAAGAAACGGTAAAAAGAAAGGAAGAACCACATAAATACAAATGTTGAACTGGACATACCAACTGAGAGCAAACACAAAGTGTCAAACAAGAGAAAAGGTGGCAGAGAAAGAGCCGTTTAAAGAGTGTGGGGACAGTAAAGATATAGTGAGCTGAGCAGAAAAACGAGCCCAAAGGGCCACCAAGCTACAACGAGACACAGAGAAAGTTCTTACTTTATTTAATAACGGTATGTAAGCTTCAAACATTTTCGACATCTGTCAACCTTCTAATGAGGTCATCCTGATGAAACAAAGTGCATGCCTTGTTAAAAAAGAAGGAAAGAATGCAAATGAGAGAAGCTTCACTTAATATTCTCTCCAGTCTGCAGCTTCCTGCCAAAGGCATTCTGGGAGTGTGTGAGAGCACAGTGGGTAGCACAATTGTTTAAATGTTGCTTCACTGCTTTCAGTTGATCCATATAAAAGCACATAAACCAAACTAAAACACTGTTCAGCTCGCAGATCAAAGCAGGCTCTTGTTCTTGTGTATATTTATAATAACAAGTGTGTGCATGTGACACGTTATTGGGAGTACCTTATTGGCCCAGGCATCTTCGTCCCAGGACGTCAGCTGCAGCACTCTGATGATCTCATTTATCTCCGCGCTCATCTTCTCAAAAGTGAAGTTCCGATTCTTCAAGGACTCCTCCACACCCTGGCCGCCAGACGTCTTGGTTGTCACAAAGATTTTGATACCTGGAAATGAAACGGAACTCACAATAAATAACCCGATATTATGCTCTTGACACTTGCTTTAAGACAAAGAAGAATCAACAAGCATTGAGTGGGGGTCCCTGTTGATGAAGGGGGTGTGAATACCTGAGATGAGGATGGGCAGCAGCTCTTTGACTGTGTTCATGGAGTTCACCAACATCACGCGGTGCTCCTGGTGAGTCAGCTCCTGCTGTCGCTCATCGATCATCTTCGCCATCTTTGTCATTCCTGGAAACCAGCAACAAGCCAAATGTGGAGAGGAGCTAAGTACATTTGCTCAAGTCACATACTTTAATGTAAATGTAAGGTGATATTACTTTTGTATTTCCATTTAAATGCACTTGTTTATTTTCAGATTAAGATTATAGGAAGGAACAGTTCATAAGAATGTGTTTACATAAGTCAAATGTAAGGGCACACTTGTAATGGAACACAGTTTTAGAAATGAATGAAGGGATACTGCTTTTACTGAAGTAGATAATCTGAAGTCTACTTTCAGGAGATACAGGCTAACACATCAACGTTTCTGAGATACTGTCAAGTCCCCACTTTAGCAGAGTGACCCTCCTGTATCAGCAGACTGACCTGGACCCAGGTTCTTTGTGTACGTGATCAGGTCCTCCATGGACTCCACCACCTCGGCCACCGTCAGGTACTCCAGGATGCCTTTGCACACACGGATTATTTTTCGGACCTATGACAATGAGAGGACAAGACACCAACAAAGGCTCATTTTAAAAGTTGCGTAACCAGAGGAAATGATGCAAAAACAGCCCCCACCCTTTCTCTAATTACACAGGAATAATGCTGCCTAATGACATTCCAGCCTACTTGTCCTCACTCCAGCTCTGTGAGGACTGCTGGAGTCACCACTCCACTACAGAGCCATCCCTCAGCTGCATTGGAAACCATCACCGCTGACTGATGACTCCTGCTGAGTCCTGCTGACTGCGGCAGGCAGCGAGGGGACGGCTGCTCCCAGAGAGCTGAGGAGCAACTATTTTATTTGATTCCCATCCCTGAGAGGAAAGGAAGAAGGGGCCTGATAGATGATGCTGCTGTGTTTTTGTAAGAAGTATGGAGATTTCCACAGACGTGTGGTATATTTATCTACCTCTCCGTCTTCTTTATAAGCAGTAGCGTGCCCTTAGGGGAGGGCAGTGCAGCAGGAATGGCTACTGTCCTTAGACCAGAAGAGCCTGTTACAGCAGGCTCAAGTGTCCATTAAAAAGACACTAAAGCCCTTCCAGCTCAGCGTCTGCTCAATGAAAATCAATAGTACACCTTTAGCACAGCTCCAAGCTTTATTAGCTGCTTTCGCTCCATTTCTCACCTTCTGCTGCCAGAGGGCTCTTTTACAGCCTCAATACTGTCTTTTTGAGGATCATATCATTATTTTTAAAGAATACATTTAGAAACAATCTCATAACAATTGATTTGCCGACTCTTCTAACAGTCAAGTATGCGCAGATCCATATCATTGGTTATTAAAGAGATATGGTGATAATATACCTGTGGCAGGACATTTTACAGTAAAAATAACTAACTTTGTTTCAAAGAATAAACAGCAGTGCCAATTTTACTGTGAATTTGTTTAAATGTTAAATATTTAAAAAATAAATAAACATTTATTTAATCTGATTTAAATATTTGTCATTATTTGTATCTTCAGTTGACATGACACATTTTGGTTTCCGGTATTTGTTTATAGCCGGCCAAGCAAAGAAGAAATGATGTCATGTTGACCTATTTCCAGTCATTCAGAACATCAGGCAAGACAGAGCACACTTGGTGTCCATCATTTTGCACCAATGCTTTACCAATGCACTGGGAGAACCCCAGAGCACAAGAGGCAGTTAAATCAGTTCCACCACTGTCAGATGTCACAAAGAAAATATTATTAAATGAACATATGTTTCTGAAGTTAGGGCCCCACCCACATCCTGCAACATGTAGGAAATGGATGAGGTGGTAGAATATACTGCCTGCTAAAAAAAGATGAGAATATCTGGAAGTTTCACCTGATTGATATTTCTTTCCTTTAACAACTTTTTTTATTCTGACCTCGTTGTTCAACAAAAAGACTGGACATTTTTTTACAAAGTTATTTGAATAACACTGAATGAATGGATGAAGGAATACCTCAGCTTCGTCAAAGGTCAGGAGCAGGTCAGAGGTCCCAGAGAGGATGCCCCGCGAGCCATCGATGAGGTAATCCCGAGCAGGGACGGAGTACGGGTCAGCTTTCAGCATGGAGGCAGCCTGCACCAGTTTAGTGCATGCAGTCTCCACTCTGTGAAGAGCAAAGAATGATGGATTTAAATACCAGTAAAAAATGAAATAAAAAAATCCTCAAACCAAGTGTCATGCTGATGATACGAAGCCCTTCAAAAGCCAGATGGACTTTACGCATGGAAACAGCAAGTCGCTCGCAGCAAACACATATGGAAGCTTTGCGATACAGCTAGCTATAACAAACACTAACAGCTGTCCTAGCAGGACTTTGTTTCATTTCAAAATGTACATTTCAAATTAAGAAAATATAAGATTTGAATGTTGCTGATGCTGAGTGTAATCAAGACATGACAAAACGAAATTTCAGCTCAAAGGAAATGTGATGTGAAAAATCAGCTGATAGAATTTCACACCTTTCACACAGAGTTCACACATCATGTCAACAGCTTACTATGTCTCATCCCAACGCTATAGTTAGTTTCCTTCCTGTTCTACAAACAATGTGTGTCTGCAGCTTGTTTGAAAAGCAATACTGTTAGAGACAAGCTGCAGCTTGTATGGAGACACTCGTTTTTAGATCACCAAACTGTGTTCTTTAGTACGAATATGAAAATGAGAAAGTTCCCATTTACGAAATATCTCCTCAAGTTTTCCTTAGACCTTAAATCTTTTTGATGACTTATTTGGGGAATTATTTAAGCATATAAACACTCTATGTTTGTTTTGTTGTATTGTTCTTGCACAATAAATCTAATGACATGAGCTTTGTTTACATGAAAAAGCCGAATGAATAGTTAAATGGAAAGTACATTTCATTTGTAATTGAATAAGGAATGAATGGGATGTGGTGAAATCAGGTTGGTAGCTGGTTGAAAATGAAAATGGCTTTTTAATTGTTTTAAAGGTTGAGTGGACTAAGGACAGAGTGTCATATGTTGTACAGAATGAAAAGCCCTATGAGGCTTTTGGACTATATAAATAATATTGATGTGACTTCTGCAGCATGAGTATCTGTAGCTCGTGACAAAGGAGTTGGCCTGTTCTCACAGGAAGTGATTTGGATCTCAGGAGGCAGAGCTCCACTCTGAATGGCTTCGGCCCAATTTAACCCCCTGTTTGCACAGAGATGGAGATGATTGATTGTTGCCTCCTGGCCGCGGTGCACTCAGTGAACTCCAGAGCAGGAAAACTACAGGCTCAGCTCTTTGACTCTGCATCATGCATGCCACCTGCGTTGTATCATAACAGCCATATTGCACATAGATCAGGCAACAAGCCAAGAACCGACTGTATACTGCTCTCCTTCTTTGCCTACGGGGCCAACGTTGCCTCGGTAACAAGATCATTATTGCTAGTTTTCCACATTTTAGGCGTTGCAGAGGGGCCAAACAAGAGAGGCTCAGTTTCCATTCTTCAGAAGGAGCAAGTCTCCTGCAGGATACAGGCTAATGTATGTGCATGACATCCAGGCTGGTGTGTGCGTGTCTCTGCAGAGCCAGCCAGCAGTGCCCTTCAGCGTGCACTAGCGAGAAAGAGCCATGCATTAACCGGACCCCGACAGACACTATATTTAGTGAAGGAGACGCATTCCAGCTTATGTGCTGATGGATCACGACAGGGTGAAGATGTGACTTTGAGGCGCCAAATGTGTTGAGCCTGACGACCTGCGCCTGCCAATATGTTTCATCCCTGACCTTGGGGTGGGGGTGGGGGCTCTCAGGTCCTGCCACTCCCCACCTCCACTGTAGAGTCTCATTTAATAAGGATCGGTCAAAGAATGCGATACAGACAGACTTCAGATGAGCACAAGCTACTGATTTAGCCGATTTCAAGAAACATTGATTACGTATACATCTCTTTTTTTACATCAATGTGTAAGCTCTTTTCGTGTTTCACGTTTTAAAATAAACCAAAAGCAGCAGCAGTCACTGGCTCTAATATAGGAGGGCATGTAAGAGTTTGTGTCCCTTCTCATTTAGGGTAAAGGAACTCCACCCTAGGCAAAAAAGTATTTATGTTACACCAGGGCAAGATTCTGGGGCACTTAACATGCCGTGTCTGACCTTTGCTTGGGCACAACCAGCCATTACTGCAACAGATAAAGAGAGAAACAGAGCCGGAGAGAGGCTAGTGGGTTCCACATACTGTAGGGAGACAACCGTGTCATCTAAAAACATTTTTGAAAGGTTAATATTGTATGAAATTGAGATCGGCAGGGATTTCTCTTTCGTGCTTACTTGCTAAAAGCTGGTGGCATGTCCCTTTTCATGATCTGGTCCTCTGTAGTTTGTACAGTCTCCCTCCCCACCTGGAAAACACAGATTATTGGTGAGTAAAAAACAATCAACTGGGATTTAATGGAATAAGACATAAAGGTGTGATGTACAATATATAGAATACACAATTGACATTTGCAAACAAGAACATGACATTTTCGACCCAATATGTATTCATTTAAAGCCTAAGCCCTGTGAATTCATGAATGAATCTGTATATCTGTCTTATGTAATGTCATAATTCATGCTAACAAAATTGAATAAAAATGTTGGGCAGTAAATAAATGTTAACAGGTTGTGCAGCAGGTGCTCAAGTCATTTTGGTGTATCCAGTAGTTTTCAAACTGACTCCGCCCACTTCTTGTTTCATCTCTGTAAGGGTCAGAGGGGTCCGGAGCCTGTCCCAGCATGCACTGGGCAAAGGTCAAAGACATCTTCTGCAGGTCATTGGTTCTATTACAGTGTAAACACAGATGCTGTACACTCACAGTCCCTTTGCTTCAACAATTTAGAGATGTGGGAGGAAACTGTGGCAGGTACCACTGATAAACATCGTGAGAACACAGAACTACTAGTTGTGCAGCAACAATGTTTCAAAGATGAGCCCCCCTATAGCATCCTCCTGCAGTAAATATAAGAGTTTTATATGAATTAATTGGAGTTTTCATGTCTTGATTTGATTGCAGGATATTGTGATCATGTTCCGCATATCATGGATAAATGCTTGAAAACAAAGACTGCAATAATATTATACTATATTTCATCAAATCATTCTTATTGCTTCAGCTGTCTCAATGTTGAGAACTACTGTGTAATATCGACACAGGAAAATATTAGTTTCTGGTTGGTTGGGAAGTGTCAGTAACATCATTATATATAGTTCAGGTATTTAACAGCCTAACCAACATCATACATTACTAAACAGGAACTGCAGTCACAATAGCAAAAGCACCTAAGCTTCACACTTTCTCGTTATGATTCCAGATCAAAGGCTATTTCAACAAAAAATAAGTGGCCATCGGTAAAGCGTGACGATACACTCTTTGATGTAGTAATATAGAAATGCATGGATTCGGTGAAGTTCATTCCTGCCATCTCATCCATTATCTGTTAAGTAGATTGCGTAATACAAGAAAAATCTCTTTAACTTCACAAAGTTTGTTTGGATTGGACGATGTTATCAGAACCTGGTAAAGGTGGCACCAAGGGCTGTCAAAGTGTCCAAACAAGTGTGTGTGTGTCCCCGCCCTGGCCTCAGCACTGATGACTAGTTCATAAGTCATGAGGATTTTGTATCACTCAACACTTTTTGTCAAGCACTATGAGTTGGAACAGTTGTGCTGGCTCAGTGATATTTTACAGTAAGAGCCATTACCAAACTTGTATGCAACATGAGCTCTCATTCTATACATCACTAGCATGTCATATGCGTGAGTAAAAACTCTGTTACCACAACTTCACCCCCTTAAGGGAGTTTTGTCTTTAGTCATGCCATTTTCCAGAATGATGTCCTGCTACTCGTCCAGCGAACCATTATTTCAACAAGGCAGCTGCTGGGGGGGGGGGGGGGGGGGACGCCAGGCCGCAGCGTAGTTATAATGCATAGAGCAGCTGAACGTCGCCTCTCACTCAAATGCCAAAATGACTCACCTCCCCCATCATAACCTCAGCTCTGTAGGGAGAAACTACTCACCCACGTCGAGCTGCCATGGGTGAGAGATCACACGCGTTCATACCGGGACACACTGGGTGACTGAAATGAGCTGTCCCAACAGGAACACGATAAATCTTCTCTTTTTTTAATATTGCTTCGATAAATTTAAACTACGTGAGTGATTACCTCGTTGTCACACACATCATTCAGTCAAATCGTTCTGTTGAACCTTGCTGACAGAACTGGCAATTTAAATATGGTACCCTGTGCTTTGGGAGTTTTTAATAGCACCTTTTTGGCACAATTTACAGACATTTCGGTGAATAAATAATAATGCCAAAAAATTTTTTTTAAAAAGGCCTTGTGTAAACTAAGTGATGTGGGATGTAGTCCTGATGCTGCAGAGGGCTTTCCCAGAGAGCTCGTCAACGTGTGTGACTTCAGGCAGAAGCAGAGTCATTCCAGATGGTTGACGTGGAGGCTGTAATGGAGCAGCGCAGACATACATCTCCTCACCCTTTTTTTACCGGACCAGAGGGACTCAATGAGTAACTGAGCGTTTATAAATTAGGGCCAAAGGTTGTGCCAAACTAAAACTGGAGCTTAGAGGCTGTCCATCTCAGACAGTGGTTATATGCCACCCTGACATTCTAGCTGTGAACAAAAGCCAACTACAACAACTAAAGCTCTTCAATGAAAGGGCAGCGGGGCTACACACCAGGATATAGGGCACTGACAGGGTAGTAAACAAGAGTGAGGGGGGAGGATGTAACACAAAGACCTTGCACCCCTTGCCAACACTGCAGAATACAGTAACCTCATTTAAGAGAGCTCTCTCCTGCATGCAAGTCGTAATATATGAATACATAATATTAGAAGATTTGTTTTTGGTTTGCAAAACACTTGGACCTAATGGTTTAATTGTTTTTCTTTTGGGAGCTGTTTTTAAGCAGCATCCTGTTGTAAACTGGAATCAAGATGACACAAAGGTTCACTTTGTTTGCTTTAGAAAGCAACTTACAAAAATAAAAAACACAGATTTAAGTTAAATTAAAGTAAACATTTGTAAAATATTGGAAACATTGCGTGGTCAATGGTTTTGAACACTTTTAATTGGAATATCTCTGGGTTATCTAAGTCTGGCTAAATAAGAATGTATCTGACTCCATTAGCTTATGACATGCCAACATTTTGTAAATACAATCTTATAAAGAAATTTATATTTCTGTTCGATTATGTTCAGAATATTTTATATAAAAAATATTTTCGGGTAGGCGCGGTTCGGCATTCTGAACTTGATGAACAACTTTTCTGGGGGACTGAAAACCTTCTTTGTAAGAAGCTTGCGTCACGTCAGCACTGAATTATTAAAACTACACAATGATTTATACGAGATCAAGTCAAGTTTAGACTTGATCTTTAACTGAATAAAGGTAAGAACACAGACTACACCAGAGGCTAACAACGTGGGAGCCAAAAGCTGAGTTCACACAGCCTTTTTAGAGTGCTGACTCATATTCTCCCCAAAGCATCAGATGGGTTTTGGCTCCATGTTCTGTATGCAACCGGGCTTCACTGTCTCTCTTTTTCTTCTCCCCACTGAGACTGTTCCTGCTGAAGGTCCAAACAGTCTGCAGCCAAACACTGATCCAAAAGATTTACTGCAAAAATAGAACCATGACCCGCGTTTATAACCACTGTTGTCAAGCCGTTCAATATGCCTGTCCTAATACGCTATTTTGAGCGTCTGTCAACTTTTGGGACCACATTCTTGCAATACCAACACTGACCGAGCTTGACATTAGAGCTTCTTTACTCTAAACTTTTAAGAAGGTAATAAAAATGCCTATCTTTAGTTCCAAGATCAGGGTGCGATACTTTAATGACATGTTTGTGCTGACCAACAAAAACGGCCTATACCTGAAAACATTTCATTTACGATGATATAAAACTTAAAATATAGGTTAATCACCACATTATAGAACATGGATGGTATTGTTCCCTAATGAAAGGCTGTTATTAATCATCAAAATCATTGTTTTAATTGATTGTCAGTCAAACTATCAATCATGGAATAAGTGTATTATTTATTAGCATTTAGCCTTTGTTTGATTATTGATAGCGAAGACAGGAAACATGGGGGAGAGAGGAAAGGATGACATGAGGAAGTCCAGTTTCATCTCATTCTTAATCAGAGCCCAGCCTCAAAGGCCAAACACAAATATCCTGTTCCCTGAATAGATTCTACAAACCACTTTGAGGAAGGCCAGTTGTTCACTTCCACCTTCTTTTTAAAACCTTTCACACATTCAGTGTCATCTTCTTCCAAGCTGTCACACACAGTGCTACTGGCTGACAGTGTCATTTAACATTTGTGTCTGGAGTGGAAACACTGACACGCTTTTCAGCCTCCAAGAGTGCTGTTAGGAAACCCTGTGTTGTGAAGGAGCTTGATAAAGTGGCTTCTCCTGTAGAACAGACTTGGCTTTGTTGACAGCAGCCCATCACTCTGCTGGGAGAAGAAAGGCCACTCTGAAAGCCTCATGGCTGCCAAGACACTGCCTGCCTTTCACATGTTGGCTAGTTTTAGCACAATGCTGTGTTAGTCATGGTGACCACAAGGATCTATGATGGCAAATTCTGGCTAGCACAGTCACTGCTGCCCTTAGCAATGCCCTACAAATAAACTGAGAGCTATTTTGCACAGAGGGGTTAGTTCCTCAATTTCCGCAACCCTGATTCCCACTCAAAGTGACTGCAATCCGATCAGACATGCTCACGTAAACTGATGACGCAGCACTCCATTAGCTACTCCAGATCAATAGTCTTTGAACCAGCCAGTGCTGCGTTCTGTGATATCAAATGACTCCTGACCGACAATGAATCGGAAAGGCAGCAGAGAGGTCGCACTGAAGGTCGACGGCTTCATCATCGCATCTGTCAAGTGGGTGTCTATGGTTTATTAATTTAGTACAGGAAGTTGCTACCCATAGGGTGTCCAAGGTGATGAAAGTCTCAAATCAAATGGCATGCTTGGCCCCGCAGCCAGAGAGGATATATCACGACTATCTGTCTCCAGTTACAGGAGCTTAGCGGCTCGTTCAGTGTTACTGGGGAGCGGCGCTCATCTGTGTGAATCCTTCTCTGAAAAGGAAGAGTCACTACAAGGATCGTCACAGATGAGCTGCCATCTTTAAACGGAACAAGGGCGGCTAATAGAACAGAGATAACAAGAGATTACTTTGTATGGATCAACTGAGCATTGGAGAGGCAGAGGCAACATCTCACATAGGCATCCGATAAGGTGGATCAATAAACCATAAAACCTATTTGTTACTTTTGAATGGCCATACATCTTGTTGTGGGACCATCACTTTGTAATTGAAATGTATAAACCAGGCATCCTCAAAGTCCGAACTCCGGTCCGGATCCGGACCGAACCACAACTGTCTCTGGACTCTGAGCAAATTATACTTTTCATATGTGTTATCTGCGAGACATCGCCACAACGCAACGAGTCAAAATGTTCCGCTATGTCCACTACAAACAGCGCTCTGCATGTCCGACTGTTCCACTGTCTGTGTGTGTCTGTCAACGCATTGGTCCAATCACATTCAGCATCCTGTCAGCGTTTTTTTCCCCCACCAACAGTCTGCGAATCAGAGGCACAGTAGGGCGGGTCTTCGCGGAATGCGGGTGGGAAAAATGCGTGTGTTAAAAAATAAAAAAGTCAGAGCGAGAGTTAACAGCTCATCAAGTTGCATCTGTACTGTAGCTAGTATATATGAGCTATCATCCCTGTTTTTAGATGGGAGGGATTATAGCCAATATCTGAGTGACTAGATGGGGTGTCCTGCTATCACCCTGGAGTGAGATGGATCTTTGATACTGGACAGTTTTTGTTTTGTTCTCATCTAAACACAGAGGGATGATAGCTCATATATGAGACTTCAAAGGTCTTTTATTTTGAAACTGTACATCAGAATGTCCTGATTTTGTCTGAGTGACTAGATGGGATGTCCTGCTATCACCCTGAAGTGAAATGAGTCTTTGATACTGGACAGTTTTTGTTTTATTCTCATCTAAAAACAGAGGGACACAAATGTTTTGACTCTACCGTAATGCATAGGATATTCGCGCACCGCAATATCACGTGCAGGCTGGCTTGACTAGGTTTTCCCGAGTGGAGGCTGGCTTGACCGCAGTATAATAAGTGAAGTATAAAAGAATGCATGACTGAAGTGATGGAGACCATGTTTGAAGGCAAACTAAAAGAGGAAATAACAGGTCAAGCGAATCCCCATCTCAGATTCCACAGCAACCAGAAGAACAGAAACACTGGCTGGTGATTTGATGAATCAGCTTTGTGATGGAACAAAAATGCACAGTGCATTTCCTTAGCTGTGGATGAGTCCCTGACACCACTGACAATGCTCAGTTGCTGGTGTTTGTGAGTTTTTATGATGAGGCAAAAGGGGAGTTTGTTGAAGATGTTGGACCTGACGAACCTCAGTGGACACACAAGGGGGCAAGACATTTATAAAGCAATAATGGGAATGCTGAATGAAAGAGGGTGCGGCTGCCTTTATTCATAACTGCAGCTCTTACACTGCGACACAATAACAATGAAAACTGCTGCATACAGATTATTTTTGTTTTTGCAACCTCATGTTAAGAATCTTGTTGTAATTGTTTAAAAGTTTGAATGACCGTAATAAACGGACCTTTGTCTTATTCAAAAAAAATTGTTGGACCTTTAAGATTTGTATTTGAGTACCCCTGGTATAAACCATCATTCAAACTTAATTTAATCTATATACACAAATGGTAGTCCATTACAAGCATGTTTTTGTATAATGTGTGTGCGTGCATGAACTACAATTAGTGGCATATTACAAATGTGTCATTTACACCATCACATCGATACTACTAGCTTCAGGTGCAAGGTGATAGGGCTGTGCAATTAATCGTATTTTAATCTCGATTACGATTTTGGCTTGCAACG